TATAGTTAACAACTATTAAATATAGTTTTACAGATAAAACTATACTTAACGAATCGTTAACTATACTTAACGAATCGTTAACTATAGTTTACGGTTTGTAAACTATAGTTTATAGTCGATAAACCTAGTTTATCAAATGTGAAACTAGGTTTATCTCATTTTTGTGAATTTGGCGTGCCATATATACTACATTGTACAGACCCTAAATCGTGCTACTACACCACTTGAACGGTACGGTTCGGTACGCTTTGTGCACGGAACGGTACGCTTTGTGAACGGAACGGTTCGTTTTGTGAACGGTACGGTACGCTTTGTGCACGGAACGGTTCGCTTTGTGCACGGAACGGTACGCTTTGTGGACGGTACGTTTCGTTTCTTGCACGGAACGGTTCGTTTTGTGAACGGTACGCTTTGGGAAACGGTATGCAAATGAAGTGGGCGGAGCCTTATAGCTTTAATTCTTGATTGGCTGCTAAAAATTAATTCATTTTTAAATGACTTTTGAAATACTTAATGCACGTATATAATTATATTTCCGCTATTAAAAAAAATAATTTCTCGGTTTCAATTTGAAACATAATTTTACATTACAGCGGCGATGGAGGAAAAATAAATAAAAAAAATGAAAGGAAGAAAAAACATCATCCCTCCGATGTCTAGATATGTATTAATATATATATAGAACTCGTAAATATTTCCGTACTTATTTTTTACGTATGCTGAACCTTCATTTTAAAAAGGGAAAAAAATTAAATGAAATATTTTTTCACTTTGAAATAAAGTTGTAACATAATTAAAAGGAATTAATATATACCGGGTATATACTTGTTCTATATATATAACACTACGCACATATATAAATTATTTTTAATTGATTGATCTATAGAAATAAATATGACTATTCCTGCTTCATTTTTATTCCTATCAATTAGATATGTAAATTGTTTTTTATTTTTAAAATTGTAGATCTATCGTTTAAACGTTTGCTTCAGAAGAGAAAAATATCAATAAACAAAATAAATACGAAAATCAGCAGCAGAAACATGAAATCAATACAACTTCCGAGCGCTTTCTCGTAACAGAAAACATTCTTTTCACAGACAAGTATTTATGTTTTCAATAATCCTTTCAGTGTATTAAGTAATTATTTTAATAAGTTTTCTTTATTTTATTAAGTTATATTCTTCATGTTCTTGTAAAGTCTGTAAAAACGATGTCGTGAATGAAAGAGAGAGAGAGAGGGGGGATAGAGAGAGAGATGCAATTAACCACTTAATACATAATCTGTAAAAAAAATAATAACTTGTATTTATTCTCATTCTTCGTTTTATTTACATCGCCAAAGTCACAATTAATCAGTCTATGATGCTATTTAATCAACCCATTTACAACTATTGTGCAATGAATAATCCGTTCTCTGTACATGCATGCTTCACGCATGAAATCCTCGTGCATCACCTGTCAATCAAAATGGCATGACGCTAGGTGACCCTGAAAGTGTGTTTACGCAGGAAGAATTTCTCCTGTGATGTGAAACATTCTTATGGTCAGTTCATAGTTCACACCTGTTTAAAAAAATATTGGGTCACAGCTTAAGGGACTGGGGGGGGGGGGGGGGGGGGGCGCTGTGTGTTTAACACACCTTTCAAATTATTTAGTTTTGACCACATCAAGTGCATAATCACTCAACTGACATCCAGCAAACTCATCTTCCAGGTTTCACCACAACACTGATTACAAATTTACTTACTAAATTATCCTTTTTCAGACAAAAATAAATAAGCATGTATCCCTAAATTATAATTTTCTTTTTTTTTTAACAAAAACACAATTTAAAGTCACATAAATTCGCATAAGTATCTCCTTCTAGAGGGGGGGGGGGGGGGTAACAAACATAATATGGCTTGCAATTGAAAGAGGATTGATATTTCTTTTAATTATTTTCATTTTATTTAGTAAATTATCTTTTTTCAGACACTAATAAGAATGTTTCCTGTAGATTATGATTTTTTTTATTTACAACAACGTATACCATTTTGCAGACTTCTAAAGAACTTTTAACCAGCTAATTCCTATTGCTTTCTAGAAAGGGGATGGGGGGGGGGTACAGTGTAACAAACCTTATAATATCTTTATTTTTTCGCAAACTGTTTTTTTTTTCATTTTTCATAAGATGTATTTCAGAATGAAGTAATATTTATACTGCAGTTTTCACATTTTATTTGCAAGAAATTCGGCTGGCGATTTTTGTATGCAGCGTGAAAGTTGATCACAGTTTTATTAGTAAGATTATCATCTCTGTCTGTTCAGTAGAAATCTTCATGTTTACCGGATGTAATATTTTAATCCATATTTTACATTACAGATTTTCGGTGTAAGTATAACTGCACCAAAGATTCGCCTATAGTAAAATTCTTAACAGAATTAATGTGAAAGTCTAATACGGTTATTTTTTAAATTTTACTCTAGACAGTTTATATATATGTTTTAACATTCTTACAAAATAATTCATTAGTAAAATCACGCATGAATGCATTCTTACGACAAAAACGATCTTGTATCTGATAAAATTCAACAATATAAATGAGCAAAATTAAAATCAAAAGTAGAGACAACCAGGGAATTAATTCATGAAAGCGTGTTCTATCTTAGTGGTATTATAGTCTATTGAACGTATTTTTATGTCATATACTATTATAGGATTATGAAACAAGAATGTACATGTACACATTTAAGGAGGGTTTTTTTCCCCGGGCACGAGCACGATTATATTGAATTTTGGGGCATCTTATAATATTAGTTTAAATATCTGTATAGTTAAATTACGAATATTTAAATACAACTAATATTTCAAAAGGAAATTGATTTAATTTGCTCATAGTAAGAAAATGAAAGACTTCAAAGACGCCGACATTTTTTGAGGTCCACTGTGCCCCGTACGTGTTTTGCGGGAAAAACTCGTGGCCTGTACTGTACCTTTGACCACAAACACAATCGGTTGATCTAATTAATAGTAAATAAGGAATCGTCTCACACTCTGTCTAGTTGTTTTGAAGTTGTAGTTTGCTTCGAGTACTTTCCTTATTTTTACAGTTGTAGGCCCAGATGCATGATACTTGATAATGGTGTTTCAAACAGGCAGACACAACCCCCTTCCTCCTTTCACAGGCGCCGTAGCGAGAAATAAACCAAAATGACTCACTTGGTCATTACACGATTCAAAAATCATTGGGGGCGTGGTTTGCATAATTAACCAAAGAAGGGTACGGTTCGTTTCTTGCACGGAACGGTACGCTTTGTACTCGGAGTTCCTCGGATGACTCGTACCTCGCACATTGAATGGAGCGTAGCGGAGTCAGCCGAGGATTGCCGATTGTACGCTTTGTGCACGGAACGGTTCGCTTTGTGCACGGAACGGTACGCTTTGTGAACGGAACGGTTCGCTTTGTGCACGGAACGGTACGCTTTGTTCACGGTACGGTACGCTTTCTGCACGGAACGGTACGGTTCGTTTCTGAGGTGTAGTAGCACGGTTTAGGGTCTGTACCCTTGCATCTTTCCAAATTTGTTTCAGCTTTTCTAGACCTGTAGTTTTCGAGATTTTTATGCGCCCGGATTGATAGATCCAAGGCGTATATTGTTTTTGTCCTGTCTGTTTGTCTGTTTATCTGTTTGTCTGTCTGTCTGTTGTCAACTTTAATCTTCGCCATAATTTTTGAACCATGAAGGATAGAGACTTCATATTTGGTATGCGTACTCCACCAATCAAGTTCTTCCGAATGACACCAAGGTCAATGACCTTGTGACCTTGACTATGACCTATTTGCTAAAAATAGCTTTTTTGAATTTTCGCCATATCTTTTGAACCATGAGAGATAGAGACTAGATATTTGATATCCTTACGAATAACGTTCTTTCAAATGACACTAAGGTCAATGACCTTGTGACCTTGACTGTGACCTATATTTCAAAATACCTTCGTTGAACCTTCACCATAAATTTTGAACCATGAGAGATAGAGACTTCATATTTGGTGTGCATACTCCACTAATGAAGTTCTTCAAATGACACCAAGGTCAATGACCTTGTGACCTTGACTTTCACTTATCTGCTGAAAATAGCTTTTTGAAACTTTGTTGCCGCCGGGCGCATAGTGTTTCACAAACACATCTTGTTTTCCTTATATTTCAATATCAAACTTTGATTTCCTATGATACTCCCTTCTACCCATGGAGATCATGATTTGAACAATTTAAAAATCTATCGTTCCAAATAAGTTTCAGCTTTCTGGCTCAATGGTTCTTGAGAAGACGATTCTGAAAGATTTTCCCCATTAATTTCAATGTAACAAAATGATTTCCTATTGTGGGGCACCCTACCATCTAATTAAAATCAGACTTCTTAAATCTGCCCCTTCTACACTCTGCAAAAGAAAGTATAGGGTGCGGATCAAAGAAGTCTAACTTTAATTAGATTGACCCACACTACCCCTGGGGGTCATGTTTTAAATAATTTAGAATCTACACTACCGAGGATGCTTCAATATAATTTTCAATATAATAAGAATAGTATTTTTTAATGATTACTTCTGGCTTTTGCTTTTTCTTACTTATCTCCCCTTACAAGAGGATTTGATCCTTCATTTTTAAAATTTAAACTCCCATTTATTCAAAAATTGCCAAACTTGGAAATTGGCTAGAAGTTCTTGAGAAGTTCAAAATGTAAAAAGACAGACAGATTGACAGCAAGTGATCAGGAAAAGCTCACTTTAGTTTTCAGCTCAGGTGAACTAAAATCAAGGTTGCCAAATTCATCTTTGGTCCGAGTGCCACTGTCGAGTATAATTACTGACACCTTGCCATAATATTAACAATCTTGTACCATTTTGTAGACCAACAATCTATTAATCCAATAGCGTTTTTCGAATTGATCAAATAAGCAATACTGCTCTGTTTTTCATAACACAAAAAATATTGAGATGATGAATTTTTTTTATTAGAATTCTGAATTAAAATAAACTAAAATATCTACCAATTTAGTTTCATAGAAACTATATTTTTAAAACAACATTAAACACTTCCTTGTACATTTAAAAACATGTTTAATACAATTTACTGACAGTTGAACAAATACAGGAGGACATACACATGTACTTATGCTAGTTGTGTTTTTTTTCTCTCAAGCATTAACAAAGCTGTCCAATTTATAAAAGAAAGGCTCATTACATATCAAATTTAAATAAAATATCTATATGTACATTTTTTTTACATACTGAACAACACAAAGCATTTTTGTGCTTACACTCATCTTCATCAGCATTCAAAGATTGCTCTAGAATCAAAATTACGGTAAAAGTAACTTAGTCCCATTGACATTGCCAACAATCTGAATTTCAAGAAAAACATTTCTTCAACCTTCAGAATATGAATAATTTTTAATACCTGAAGATTTTTAAAAATATCACAGATAATAAATAAATACAATTTAGCATTCCTCTACCTATAAAACACTTCTGTTTCAGGATATTTCATTGGCCATCAGCAAGGATTGTAATGCCTTTGCATATCCTGAAAGTAGAGGAGGGATAATATCAAACTTAAATGTTCAATAATTTTTACATTTTCAAATGAAAATCTATAAGGATATAACAATGAGAGTTTGAATTACTTGCTAAGTATATCTAAAAGAAGATTAATTTTTCTTTAACTCTGGTCACCTTTGAATCATTTTAAGTACCAGTAATGGAAGTAAAAAAGTTAAATAAAAAGGTCCAAAATTCAACTTATTTTAAGTTTGTACCTCTGGGGTTTCTGTAGAAGACACAGTTATTTGCACAGGTGTCAGGATTAGTATCCCAGAGGGTCATCCCACAGCAACACAGGGGAGGCAGTTCTACCCCTCGCTTATCCATCTTCTCCTTTAATTGTTGCTTCAGGGCCTCAACAAATCTGAGAAAATTTTAACAATCATTTACATTTACAACATGTATAGTCCTACTTCTATTGTAGTAACTGATTCTAATTACATGTGGGTACATGTTACATTTATCATTGTTGTGCATATCTTACATAACAATTCAGGAAGCTTGCAAAATACTTTAATATTATAATACTTTCAATAGTTGTATATTTTATTGTTAAAATTTTTAATTTGCAAAAATATTTTTTTACGGCCATAAAGTAATAAAATCAACGGCCACTTGCGGTACTTTTTAGTGAACTAAGAATGTACTCTTATAATTACCTTTCCATATATCTTTAACTGGAATAAACGGCCATGACCTGTACTACATGCCGATGCCAGCGGCTTTGGAGAGCCTCCAAATCCTCCCCCAACAGCCTTATTGACACTGTAATATTTGGCCTCTTCCTCACTTGTTGCGATCATATATTGAAAAAATCAAATATATTAAACGCACTGCATTTATATAACAAAGATAATCATATCCTCGATAGTCAATTTAACCTATTAATGCAGTTACAAAATTGCTTTTAGATACGCTGATTTCTGTTTGTGTTTATGAAAAAAAAATGTTTGTCCTGTTAGATCAATTTGTAATTATTTTTCAAGATCGCCGATTGAAAAATTTTAAGAATTTAATTACAATTGTTACCATTAATCTGTATTTTTGTGATTTTTTTTCCTTTTAAAAATATGATGATAGTCATGCACTTTATGTTTTTCTTCAAATGAAAATTAAAAGGATTTATTTAATATTTCAATGTAACCAAAACACACTTATGAATGCAAGATTTTTAACAAATATGTAAGAACAGAAACATGCACAAAACCTTACACATTTTGAATTCTTTTCTTTTTAATATTATTTTTAAATGAGCTTAAATTATTATATATACACATAAAAAGCTTTTGTGAAATTGACCTATTTAATTATGATTAATTAATTTAACTGTAGTGCTTAATGTTTATTTATTGACTTAATGTAACTAACTTTTTGTAGGGCAAATTTTTAACAGGCCACCTGTCTTAAGTGGCCAGTTTCCAGACTTCCCAAAGGTGGCCTCTTAAAACAAGTTTAACTGTAGTTGTAATTTGCTAGAAGTATTTTAACCCCTAAAGAGTACAAAAAATATTAGATTTTAGTGAACACAATGTACCCTAACCTTTCCATTTCTTTAACTTTTCTCAGCCTCTCCTCGTTTTCCCTGATTACTTGGACCACATGCCGATGCTCCTCGATTTCCCTTTGGAGGGCCTCCAGTGAGGTCTCCCCTGTGAGGGGGTCACGAGGTTCCACCGACCTCAAGGACATCTCCTCCTCATTTCTCCTCTCCTCTTCCTTCTCGAGTTTTAATCTGAAAAAATCCAAATATATTAATCATCCAAGCATTCATATGAAAAGATACATTAGATAACAGACTGAGAGAGATGCCAATAGTGTCGGTGCCATAGCATTCAAATGGATAATTTGAAGTTTTACTGTGAAAATCACTTATTTTTGAGGGGGCTTAATTTTAGCTGTTTTCAAGGTATGAAGAGACTCACAATTTTCGTCCACCATAGAATGTACATGTACTTTTCTTTTTTTTTTACATAAATTGCTACTCAGCAATTCTTTATCCATGAAATTAAATATTTTGTCCTCAAAACCAAAAAACTGACCACCTAAAAATATGTGATTTTCCAGTCCTCTTGTTGATTTTCATAAATAAAGATGGGTTGATTTAAAAAAAATGTTTTAAATTTGTTCCTACTTCTGAATTCGTTTGTGATGCTCCTTCCTGCGTATGTTTTCCTTGACTTGTTCCCTCTCTATGTCCATAAACAGACGCCTGTACGTAGCCTGCTGTAGCTTCTGCTGCTTCTTCTGTTCCTCTTTGTGAACGCCTGCATAAATATCAGGTACCGGCTTCCTCCTGTGGCTCTGTCCCCCCAGAGAAGCATGGGCTGAATAGTGGTGAATTTATAGATGTGTAAAGGGAAAGTTACTCAACATGCTGAAGCTCTAAATTATTAGATTTTATTCCATATGTAATATTTTTCTTGTAATTATTGAAGCTTCAGATGTAATTCTGATTTTACAAGAAATGTTAACAAATAATTCTTAAAAGTCATATGTGTTCAAATTTTAATATCTGCATCTATTTAATTAAATAGATATTGTTCCAAGATTTCTGTTTTTCAGAAATATACCTTAGTTACATGTAGGAATTCTGATTGTAAATCTCTTTCATGGAATAAATTTAAGTCAAGAAGTAATTATCATCAAATAGAAGGATTCAATATTTTTACCACTTTTACATCTTGGCTTCCTTTGTTTTATTTCATGGAATGTTGGCTGCAGATTAAATTGGACCACTTTATCCAAAGGGTCTGTACTCTCATTTTCTTTGTCTTTATCCTCATCTTCACTATCTAAAAAATCACAGAAAAGAGAATAATAAAAGGTGAAATTTACAATTGATGCCCTACACAGAAGTTTATTTGTCATCAATTTAACAAAATTGCAAACAGGAATTTTAAAATGTCAAAATTTGATATGGAACAGTGCAAGACTGCAAACTACCTTCATTTTCTTTTTCCACATCTTCATCTCTGTTTTCATTTGAAGATCTCAAAGGCAGCTACAATTCAAATAAATATAAAAAGCATAATCATACAATTGAAAATCAAGAGATAAATAAGATAGACTTCATGAACAATTAAAATGAATTCATTTTATTTTCCATTATAAATCTTTAAATCATTATGTTTATGATCTTACATCTCTGGAGACCGACACTTTCCACACCCCTCCTGGTAGTCCATCAGAGATGACATCATCTGTTATTATCTGCTTAGACACTAGTCTGCTCCTGGCCTGTCTTGTTACTTTGTGTACCTTCAAGTTTTAATTTTCTTAAATGTGAATGAAAAATGTTGATGCAAATATACATTACAAAATCCCCTTCCCAGCACACACATACAAAAAAAATGTACAAACACAATTTAACAGAGAAAATTAAAAAATAAACTTTTTTTCCTTAATAATTTCTACTAATCAAAGAGATTTTTTTTCTTATTCTTCCCTGCAGATTTTTAAATCTTTAAACTTTCTCTTAAAGACTTTACTGGTATGGAAAACCATACCTCTTCTGTGTGATCAATGAAAGCCTGTTCCTCTGCTTTCTCAGTATTTCTCATGTTTCCCTCTGAAAAAGAATTTCCTTCATATGGTATAAAAATGACCAGTAGATTAGACACATGATATCTCTCATATATCATTGCTTCTTAATTTTTATAATGGGATACTTCAATGCCTGGTATTGCAGTCAATCAGTCAATGGCCTATGATTTTAACAACAGAATAAAAATACATATCTTATCAAAATCTCCCCATTTCATATTGATTCTAACGCAGTACTAACCATATGAACTTGGTGGGCGTATTTGCTTAATTGCATGTGTTCCATGTTTTCTGATCAAACAGCTATCTTTCCTTGGGACAATGTTTTCACTAAAGGCACTTTGCTGCAAGACGATCTGCTCTTGTTCAACCTGCAAAGTGAAGATTACAGATATCCATAATAAGCATTTTATGTCTAATAATATTACAACTTATTAAATCTCTGGGAGACTGGGATAAGGAAATTCATAATTTTCTTTTTCCATTTCGTCCATGTTTGCTTCATACAAAATAAATCAGTTTAGCTCTGTAAATCACGGGATTTAGTTGAAAATCTCAAAACCTCATGCACAACACACATAAGTGTACAGGAACCAAACGTCAGTGATTTAAAAGATGTGACATTTTAATGTTTAATGAATAGCTAGCTGCATCATAGCTACCCATAGGCAAAATATACAATACAATATAAAATGGCCAAACTGTCTTCCTCTCATTGTACACATTTTTATCAGTTGTCTGAGTTGAAGTGATAAAGAAAAAAATTTAAGACTATCAAATCAGTGAATAATCCATTCCAGAAGTTTGCTTGACAATACCAGTAATTTTTTTTACGATGTTATTCTGCACAAATTATGTAGAAACTGCAAGTACATGTAATATACATCAAAAATCAATCCACAAAGTAAACTAAATGTTTTCTGTAACACCTCATCATACCTATAGTTAATAATGGTAACTCACCGCAGTGAAGGACTTTTCTAGCTCTTTTTGTTTGCGAGCCTTTTCCATAAGCCGTACTCGGTTTTTCACATCTTCCCTGAATCTTTTCAGCTTTGCCTCTTTCTCAGCCTGAGTCTGCCTTATCCTTGCTTCTTCTTGTTCTGCAGCTGCCTGTCAATGAAACCAAAAATTTTACTATATGTCTGCTGACTATATATCAAATCTGAAGTTTTTGTGTATGATTTTGTGGCAGTTGATTGGAAACATTTACATATACCTGATATACAACTGATATTTTAAGGGAAATAAATTCTTATTGACATACTGAGAGATCACATATTTTCAAACAGTAATTTTTTCCTAGTTTTATTTGTGGAGAAAACATTTATTCATGGAGATTCAATTTCATAGTTTTGAAAAATGTTAGTAACTGAATATGCTTTTTATTACATAATGATATTATTAATGATTGTTAATATAATTTGCATGCTGCTATGCTTTTAATCCTCACTATTTTTAGTGAGAAAATTTATATATACTGTATATATGGGACGGTCAGACAGGTTAGATCCCCAGTGACCAGATAGGACATTTGGTAGAGCACCTGACTAAAACTGAGATTCATGGGCTGGGTTGGAATCCCCTATGCCCTTTCAATCTTTTAAAAACATGATATTCTTTGATACACTCATCCTCCTAATCATGCTATTAATTATGTTCCCCAAACGAAGTTGGGGAACATATTGTTTTTACTCTGTTTCTTATTATTATTATTAGGGTCTTCCGTCTCCAGCGGAAGACCCTTCTATTATTCTTATGTTTCTTTTTCAATTTTCTTATTATTATTCTTTTTCTCTGCACAAATTTTGTGCAGAAGATTTCTCAGAGATGGCTCGATGGATTTGCTTCAAATTTTCAGGGTTGATGTAGGATCATCTGAAGTTTATACCATTTTTTGGATTTTTTAAAAATCACTTCCGGTCTAGAGTTATCGCCCTTTTATTAAAATTCAGCGGACCTTCTTGTCCGTCATTGATCTCAGAAACGACTTGAGCTAGAGCGCTGAAATTTTCAGTGATGATAGAGGACATGTCCCCATGTTACTGGGAGTTTTGGGTAGTTTCCGGAAGTACCTAGTATGGAAGCTCGGTAGGGGTCAAAATTTAGGACACGAATCACGAGTGATTTTTGGAGACATTTTGCATCATATCTTTTAAAGTATAAATATTTTGTAAGAACATACTGAACAATATTTGTGCAGAATGACAAGATCTTTCATATGATTTCGTAAAAAAAGTGCTGACTCATCAAATTAAGGACCAAAAGGGGCTAAAAGTATTTTTTCGATAACTATTTTATAGTCAATATTTTGTTATACATTAATGAAGCAAAAATGTTTATCTCAACAATCTACATCTGTATATTATGATTTTAATATAGTATGGTACATAATTAGGGGTCACAAGGGGCCAGAATGATAAATCTTTGACGCTTTATATCTCGAAAGTGAGAAATATTTTGACAAGTAATGTTGAACAAAAGATGTTCAAAATCATGTTCTGAACAATATGCAACCTTTCATTTTTTGCTAAACGTCCCCATTAGGGAGTTGAAGGGTTGGCCCCTTAATCTTTCTTTTGCAAATAACTCGAAAACGAAAAAGAATCTCTGAATAGTTGTTGAACAAAAAGTGTTCAAAATTGTAAGAGCTTCAAGATGATATCCAGAAAAAGGGGCTGGACACTCAAATTAGGGGCCAAGAGGGGCTTAAAGTCTTTTTTCGATAACTCTTTAACAGTCAATATTTTGTTATACATTACTGAAGCAAAAATGTTTATTTTAACAATCTACAACTGCATATTTGGATTTTAATATCGTATATTACATAATAAGGGGCCACAAGGGGCCAGAAGGCTAGATCTTTGACGCTTTATATCTCGAAAGTGAGAAATATTTTGACAAGTAATATTGAACAAAAGATGTTCAAAATCATGTTCTGGACAATATGCAACCTTTCATTTTTTGCTAAACGTCCCCATTAGGGAGTTGAAGGGTTGGCCCCTTAATATTTCTTTTGCAAATAACTCGAAAACAAAAAAGAATCTCTGAATAGTTGTTGACCAAAAAGTATTCAAAATCTTAAAAGCTTTAAAATGAAATCCAGGAAAAGGGGCTGGGTGCTCAAATAAGGGGCCATAAGGGGCTAAAAGTATTTTTTCGATAACTCTTTAACAGTCAAGAATTTGTTATACATTAATGAAGCAAAAATGTTTATTTTAACTATCTACAACTGTCTATTATAATTTTAAAGTCGTACATTACATAATAAGGGGCCACAAGGGGCCAGAAGGCTAAATCTTTGACGCTTTATATCTCGAAAGTGAGAAATATTTTGACAAGTAATGTTGAACAAAAGATGTTCAAAATCATGTTCTGAACAATATGCAACCTTTCATTTTTTGCTAAATGTCCCCATTAGGGAGTTGAAGGGTTGGCCCCTTAATCTTTCTTTTGCAAATAACTCGAAAACGAAAAAGAATCTCTGAATAGTTGTTGAACAAAAAGTGTTCAAAATTGTAAGAGCTTCAAGATGATATCCAGAAAAAGGGGCTGGACACTCAAATTAGGGGCCAAGAGGGGCTTAAAGTCTTTTTTCGATAACTCTTTAACAGTCAATATTTTGTTATACATTACTGAAGCAAAAATGTTTATTTTAACAATCTACAACTGCATATTTGGATTTTAATATCGTATATTACATAATAAGGGGCCACAAGGGGCCAGAAGGCTAGATCTTTGACGCTTTATATCTCGAAAGTGAGAAATATTTTGACAAGTAATATTGAACAAAAGATGTTCAAAATCATGTTCTGAACAATATGCAACCTTTCATTTTTTGCTAAACGTCCCCATTAGGGAGTTGAAGGGTTGGCCCCTTAATATTTCTTTTGCAAATAACTCGAAAACAAAAAAGAATCTCTGAATAGTTGTTGACCAAAAAGTATTCAAAATCTTAAAAGCTTTAAAATGAAATCCAGGAAAAGGGGCTGGGTGCTCATATTAGGGGCCATAAGGGGCTAAAAGTATTTTTTCGATAACTCTTTAACAGTCAAGAATTTGTTATACATTAATGAAGCAAAAATGTTTATTTTAACTATCTACAACTGTCTATTATAATTCTAAAGTCGTACATTACATAATAAGGGGCCACAAGGGGCCAGAAGGCTAAATCTTTGACGCTTTATATCTCGAAAGTGAGAAATATTTTGACAAGTAATGTTGAACAAAAGATGTTCAAAATCATGTTCTGAACAATATGCAACCTTTCATTTTTTGCTAAATGTCCCCATTAGGGAGTTGAAGGGTTGGCCCCTTAATCTTTCTTTTGCAAATAACTCGAAAACGAAAAAGAATCTCTGAATAGTTGTTGAACAAAAAGTGTTCAAAATTGTAAGAGCTTCAAGATGATATCCAGAAAAAGGGGCTGGACACTCAAATTAGGGGCCAAGAGGGGCTTAAAGTCTTTTTTCGATAACTCTTTAACAGTCAATATTTTGTTATACATTACTGAAGCAAAAATGTTTATTTTAACAATCTACAACTGCATATTTGGATTTTAATATCGTATATTACATAATAAGGGGCCACAAGGGGCCAGAAGGCTAGATCTTTGACGCTTTATATCTCGAAAGTGAGAAATATTTTGACAAGTAATATTGAACAAAAGATGTTCAAAATCATGTTCTGAACAATATGCAACCTTTCATTTTTTGCTAAACGTCCCCATTAGGGAGTTGAAGGGTTGGCCCCTTAATATTTCTTTTGCAAATAACTCGAAAACAAAAAAGAATCTCTGAATAGTTGTTGAACAAAAAGTATTCAAAATCTTAAAAGCTTTAAAATGAAATCCAGGAAAAGGGGCTGGGTGCTCAAATTAGGGGCCATAAGGGGCTAAAAGTATTTTTTCGATAACTCTTTAACAGTCAAGAATTTGTTATACATTAATGAAGCAAAAATGTTAATTTTAACTATCTACAACTGTAAATTATGATTTTAAAGTCGTACATTACATAATAAGGGGCCACAAGGGGCCAGAAGGCTAAATCTTTGACGCTTTATATCTCGAAAGTGAGAAATATTTTGACAAGTAATGTTGAACAAAAGATGTTCAAAATCATGTTCTGAACAATATGCAACCTTTCATTTTTTGCTAAACGCCCTTATTAGGGAGTTGAAGGGCTGGTCCCTTAATATTTCTTTTGCGAATAACTCAAAAACGAAAAAGAATCTCTGAATAGTTGTTGAACAAAAAGTGTTCATAATCCTAAGAGTTTTAAAATGTTTTGAAGAAAAAGGGCTGATCCCTAATATTAGGGGCCGTGAGGGGCCAAAAGTCGATTTTTGAAGTCTTTATTGTTCAATGTCTTTGTACAGATTATGGAAAATCAATACTTTAGAGAGAAAATCTCATTCAAAATCTTATCTCATCTCATCAAGAATCGAACGGAAGACCCACTCGTTGTTCACAACGAGATCTCATCTAGTTATTATTCTTTTTTTTTCTTTACAATTTTTGTGCAGAAGATTTCTCGGAGATGACTCGACCGATTTACTTCAAATTTTCGGAGAAGGTGTATCTTTATCTAAAGCTTATACGTTTTTTTCATTTTTTGGAAATTCACTTCCGGTCTAGAGTTATCGCCCTTTGATCGAAATTTCGATGACCTCCTTGTCTGTGATGGAACTCAAAAACGGCTCAAGCTAGAAAGCTGATTTTTTCAGGCATGATAGAGGACATGTTGCCATATTGCAACATGGTCAGCATATTTTCCGGAAGTGCCTAGTATGGGAGCTCAGTAGGGGTCAAAATTTAGGACACGAATCATGACCGATTTTTTGAGACGTTTCGCATCATATCTTTTAAAGTATAAATATTTTGTTAAAACATATTGAACATCATTTGTGCAGAACATCGAGATCTTTCATATTATACCAAGAAAAAAGCGCTGACTCATCACATTAAGGGCAAAAAGGGGCCAGAAGTCTTTAATCGACAACTCTTTAACAATCAATATTTTGGTATATATTACTGAACAAAAAATGTTAAGCTTAACAATCTACAAATATATATTATGATATTCATGTCGTATGGTACATAATTAGGGGCCACA